CTAACACTATCAAGCAGTGTGTTTATTAGGATTGTCTCAGACCTCCTTGGTAAAGTCAACTGGAAGGGCCACAGAGAACAACAAACTTTTACAATTTTCAGCTTCATGGAATAATCTGAAATGTAATATAGATTTAAGAGGAAAAACACAAACCACATACTGTGCTAAAATAAACATGTGCAAATTTTATCATGAGGATGTGGTCTTAAATGCACATTGGCTAGTGTAGTGCCTGTCTGCTGTTCTTGCTAAAAGAATGATCTAATGTTACTAGATTGTCATTATAAGACGCTTAATCCCCAGAGTGAGAAACAGGAAGAATATTCAAGAGTTTCAATGCTATTTACTAATTGCCAATTGACTTGAGGAAAGCTAAAAAATGACTGGAAACATCCATCCCCATCCTGATACACACACATACTAATAATGGAAATGGCAGCCAAGACAAACAACTAGCAGTGCGGTGCATCCTGTTGGCATCGTATTTTTGGCACTGTTGTAGCTACACAGAAAACAAGTGATACAAGAAATGTGCAAGGACATCTGTTCTGTAACCTATGGGGCTTCACTCACAAAACAGTTGTAAAATCTTCTGGGGGAGAGAAAAATTTCTCTATATCTGTGCAGATGCTCTATTGTAAGAAAAATATCAATGGAAGGAAGTGTTGAGCCTTTAAAAGAGGAAATTGTTCACCAGATTCACTGTCAAATGTTCCATTCTTTTCTTTCCTTTTCATTTAACCTAAGTTATCTGCCATTCACAAGTTATATTTAAGCCAAGTGGTGTAAATCTGTTGGGACTAATAGAATTGAATCATGGATTAAATTAGCCCAGTGTCTGCTTGTAACTCTTCTTCGCTGCAGATTGCTTGGTCTCTGTGTCACTCTGCTGACTATTCAGGTCACAGCCTCTCAGCTACCAGCTTCCTTCCTGAATCCAGCATCTTCATGTCTGTCTAGGGACACAACAGGGAGAGAAGAAACATTAAGGACATCTATTAAGGTCCAAAGTATTGTTTACTTACCAGCTTCTCTCAGCTTTGCTGATCCTTCCAAATGTAAGCAGGCTATGGGAGAAAGAAAAGGGGAGTTTTTAAGACACTGCAAGGCGCTCTCTACTGTTCATCTACTGCCCTTCAGTCACATCCTATGAATGGACATTTTAAAAAGGAAAGAAACTTTCCCAAAATTCAAATGTTGTTGCAAAAGTTGGGATATAAGTAGTTAGGCTTCCCCCACAGGTATCTTATGGAGAGAGAGACATGGTTCCATGAAAAAGAAATCAGATCTCATCTAAACCTGGAACACGTTAGGAAACTGGAAGATAAAAAGGGATTGTGAGGTATAGAAGGTTAGGACGACTTGGGGAAGGAAAGTTTAGCTCTGGGAGCTGGGAGCAGCTGGGAGTCCTCGGTGGGAGAGTATTTAGGAGCAGGAAAAAGTAGGGGCCTGGGTAGGGGGAGATTTGTGAAGAAGTAGAGGTGATGGCCTCTGCTGTAAAAGAAGTCAGAGCTCTGGGGTGGATAGTAGGCAGTAGAAGAACAGGGGCACTGGAGTGGCTTGGGAAAGATGTGGGACAGAGGCAGAAGATGTGGGGTGTGGAGACACGGTAGTGAGAATCATGAGCTTTTGAAGAGATCGTCAGCTTCCAGAGCAGCAAAGGTGAGAAGCAATGAGGCACGGTGTAGAGGGCTGGCTCTTCAACAGTGCTCACACAAACACCCTGACACATCTACTTGGAATATAGAATATACAGGTACAGGACTGCTTTCCTGCCAGTTCCCCCCTCTGATAATTGGTTTCAGAAATACAATAGATCTGAGATCTTATCTTTTATATCACATTTCAGTTTGGGAAGGGCGTGGCTTGAAGAAGGGTGAAATGGAGAAATGAGACCACACCACGTTCCAAGCATTAGGATTTGGATGTTGTGTTGGTATTGAACATACTTATCATTAAACACCTTGAATCATACCTTCATTTTATATGTTTCCTTTAATTGTTCCGAATTTACTTTCTTGACACCCATATAGTAATGAACCGTGCTTGCAGGCAGAGAGTTCATTATTTTATATTGTATTTATATTATTTTATATTTGTATTTATTGTATATTTACATTATTTTTCCGTTGCTGTTAGAAGAGAAGAGATACCCTTGTGATCTGTTTCTATTGAGACAGTGGCTAATACTCCTCCAGGAATTTCCAAAGCAGTTTTTCTGGAAAGCAACCCTGAAAGCTGCTCTGTAATTTATGTGATATGCCTTGCAAAAGCCAGTTCTATGAGTAAAACAGTAGTAAGTAACAGATGTACTCATATTCAGAGCAATTCTAGAAAGGAATTAGGAAGTTTGTGTTAGTCTAATTAATCCCTTGATGATTTGGGGATTTCAGTGACCACTGATCAAGATCAGACTGTTCTGCATATCGTATGTTCAATCTGTGATCTAATCTTGAATGAAACATTCCTTGGCTCTACTTACCAACTATGATCAGGGCCTTTTCTTCCAAGCCACTGTACAAACAAATAACCTGAACAAATAGTTCTTCCACAACAAGTTTACAATTTATACGTCAGACCCGGAAGCTAAGAATGGATATAAAAAAGTAAACAAGGTGGGTTCAAAAACAGATGAGGTAGCAGTTAAACTGTGTAGGAGGAGCAGACGTCTCGACTTCCTTCTCTCCTTGCAGTGCTACCTGGCAATGGTTTTTGGCTTACCGTTCATAAAAAGAAAGGAGATCCTGACTGTTTTGCTAATGTGCATCAGGAAAAATGAATATGAGAAAGCAGGAGATTCTTGTGTGCCAGTCCCTACCCATTGAATTGTTTGGTTCTCATAGTTGCTAACCCATGACCAACTGAAGTACGATAGAGAAGCAGTCCTGTGCAAGGAAGCACAGGAGCCCAAATTGCTCCCCTTCCTCACATGGTGAGTAGTGCTTGCATTGTTATGAAAAGGACCCCGGGGAGAGGAGCAGAAGAGAGAAATTGGGATGAAGAAATGTGTCGGGTTACTGGAACAGAGAAGTTGAGAGGAGAGTGGAAGAAAACCCTTGTTACCACTGGGAGAAATTATTTGGGTTGAACAAACAGTGATTTTGCTGTGCAGTCACAATTGAGGATGGAAAGGCAGATGGTGATTAGAGCTTATAGGAGTTGAGAATGCACATCTAAAACTACAAGGGACACTATGAGGTGGCAGAGAAAGAGCTGTCATAAAAAATGCAAATATATCAAAATGTCAACAAAACCAGAAGAAATGAGGAAAGGGAGAATTCATTCACTGGGGAACTCAATGGGTGATAAAAGTGAAAGATCCCGTAATGGGAGAAGTTGTTATTGAGGTGAAGCTGAGGCTCAGCCCTTAGCCACAGCATGGAAAAAGGATAAAAAGAAGGATGCGGGCAGCAGAGATTTTAAGATGAAGGGGGAAATTATGCCAATGGATGGGAAGAAGGGGCAAGTAGAGAGCAGGTTAGCTGTCAGATACAGGGGGCCCAAAACACATGGTAAAGGTAGAGTGGATGGGTAAGTAACAGTGATAATCTGAGGTTTACCAAGACACTTTATAAAATGTTTAGCTTTTTATTTCTTTGCTAGGGCAAAACACATAAAACTTCACAGACTAGAAAGATTCCACCTTCATGCATTATGGGTGGGGGTACCATGCACAGCCTTCTGAAGCTTTAGCAGCTGGTCATTATTATAGTCAAATCTGGGATACAGGGTCTTTTACTGTAGGACAGCCTGGCAATTTTTGTACTGTTATTCATCTCACCAAAATACACATTGTCTAATAATATTTAAGTTGTATAAACATACCTTTCAAGGGAAGGAGCTGTTGAGAGAATCCAGGCAAAGAATTAGTATGAAAGCAAATCTAGTACTCCTTTACAATGGCAGCTCCTATTCCGGACAGAGTCCCTGCTCTCCGAGAGGAATGGGAAATGAAAGTAGAGACATGGATTCTTTCTGTCCCAACAATTAAGAAAAGAGCAACTCCCAATTTTCTAAACAGCAGTTGTTGCCTCACTGTGAAGAACAGTGTCAAAAGGCCTGCAGTCAGTTCCAGAGTTTGAGAAGTTACCTTTGGTGACAGTATCTGTGAAAAGTTACCTTTTTTCCCCCTGTGATTAGTTCTGAATTCATCTTAGGTGGGAGTGATTAAAGAGAAAAATCCGTTTTTCAGTTCTGCTTTACATTTCACCTTCAAGACAGAACTGACCTCAACTGTTTCATTGCACTGGCTCGGTTTTCAAAGTCAGCCACGTGGTATCTGAGAGTTTCATAATCAACCTTTGCTAAATTAATTACAAAAAATCATTTGCCTTTTACCAAAGCAGTTAGGGGGGAGAGAAGAACAATTTTGAGTCCTAAAGCAGGACTCATGAAGATGAGAGAGAAGCTGGTCAATAAAGAATGCACTTGCACAGAAAAATGTCAGCTGAAAATTGATCATTCTTCTATCGCTGATGCTTCATAATCATCCCATATTGGCTCATCCTGTTTAGCACACTTCACTACCTATGTATAAGACATCAGTCTGCTGCGTTGTTCGAGATCCAGCCTTGGAGTGTCGGTAGTGTCCTGCTGACCCTCTTCCAGCTGCTCACACCTTCTGCAATCATCTACAAGACAGGAGTTTGTCCATAGGAGCTCCAGAAAGCGTGGGCTCTAGGAAAGCACATGGGGCAGCTGGAGAGACTTTACAGGCAAGAATCCTAAAAGTATGTCTGGTTCTTCATGTAGATGATGAAGCTTGCATTAATACAAATGGAAGTCACTCATATACCCAGGAAGAAGAAGATATCCTCAAACCCGTGCACAAGCACATCTGTTTATTATGGAGCTTTTAGGTACCCACTCTGTTAGCTCTGTAGCCTAAATGGCTTCAGTATACAGGAAGTTATTTAAATCTAGAATATCAAAATACACACCTTCCTTCATTTGGTGTTAATACAGTTGTGTCGGTGGGGTTTTTGACAACTCATTTTTTCTTTAGGCAGCGTTAAGTGCCTTGAAACAGTTTTCAGAACAAGGACTGGATCCAGTGGAAGGGGCTATGAAAGTTGAAAACGGATCACATGAAAAGTAAGTACCACTTAAATCTTCTGCATTTTAATGCCTGTGTGGCATGGTAGATAAGAAATGTTAATTAAGAGCTTAGTTGCCCTTTTAAACCTGTGCAAAACTATTTCCTCTGGAATTTATGTACAGTTTATGACAATTTGAGAGAATAAACAAGATTTCAGGTTTAGCATTACTGATGATATTTACTAATGAGCTATGAGACAGTCAGTCCTCCTATGGAAATCCTAAAAAAAAGGATTTTCTTTTCATTGAATGGATTCTGTGTAAGTAGCATAACATGATTTTTGTCAAATGTGTTGTAGCACATGATGTTGTCTGTAAATAAGGATAGCTATCTGCCAATAAGTCCTTATGTTTGCAAGATGAATTTTACCCTAGAGAATTTAAAAGTTAAAATTTCTTTCAGGTCTTAAAAAACTCTTACACAGAATATTAGCTTTAAGTAGCAGACAATAGAACCAGGTTTCACACTGGATTTTAAAGTGGGATTGTCTGTCCAGTAGAGGTTTTTTTCCCAGCTGCTAGTCTGTTTATGTAAGAAGGTAGTCTTGTGTTACTAAATAAATTAGGAAGTAATAGAATAAAAGAAAGAAGACTAAAAGTGGCATTTGGAATTTTCAATAGATATATTGTGGCTATTTATAAACTAATTTAATCAGAAACATTTTTCCGTATGATCTCATCAGCATAGTATTTGAACATAAATATTGTTGTTTCACTTTAAAATGTTACCTTCCACAGTGACCTTTGAATCTCATGTGCCATCTGCTAATAAACATGTCTTAAAGATGTGCAACCCTGGACCTTACCACTCTTGTTAATGTATTAATCTTTCAGACAAGTCAAGCATCTGGGAGAGAAAGCAGACAATAAACAGACTAACTCAGGCACCATTGCTCAGGACTGCAAGGATTCAAAGGCTGTCGTCTAGGAGCTTCCCAGCACCCACGGCTGCCACTGCATCCTTATAAACCTGTCAACACGCAATAGGGTGTATGTGTACAAGGAAATGAATGACTAATACCATTATTTGAGTCTTATGTGAAGACAACGCTATTCTAACACAAGAAATAGTATACATGGTACTGTTTATTCAACTGTGGAAAAAAATAAAATTGAACATTTCCCTTAGAACTTGAGATCAGAGCATAACTCAATTGCCCAGAGGCAGAAGAAGTCTGATCATGTTACTGGAGGTTAAAATAACAACTAATTAACAAAAAGTGTTGGGAAAAAAAAGGGAAACTTTAAAATTGATTAATATTGAGGAAAACAAGTCAGCATTGGTTCAGTTATACAATTTTTTCGTAGTGTAGTTTTAAGTTCAGCTTACTGTTTTTTAAATAATGCTTGAATATTTTAAAATTAACCAATGACAGTGCTGTGAGAATTGTAGTTGTTGTCTTCATATATAGTCATACAGCTTATCTTTTTATGCAGACATTATGCATTCTTCATTCTATATGAATATGTATGACTTTAAGATGCACTACTCAGAGTTGTATGCAAACAGAAGTTTAAATCATGACAAGTATTTGCTTAACATGAACAGATGTTAGTTATGATCAGTCTCAATATACTCCAGGAAAAAAACAGATATGGTATTTGATTTTCCTTGCCATAATCAATTAAAGAGGCGTCTTGCCTCCAAGCAACATTTTCCCCTTCAATTCTGCTCTCTGTTGTGTGAAGCACATCTACACCCCATTCTGTGTGTTGTATCAACCCACCGTTTGCATCAACTGAGTGTTTTTAATCTCTGCATTCGGACCAAGAGCAAAAGGTAGGACTGCGACGTTATCAAGCCAAGGATGGAAAACTGTTGATGTAAAGATCATTATTCTGTGAGAGGAGTAGCAACAGAGATACGACCTGTGGCTGCTCTGTACCAGCATATTTCTTTTAAGTGTGTGGCCAAATGCAGTAAAACCACATCAGTTCATGTGTACAATGGCAGTGTCGTCTCTTTCTTTATCATTCACAGGTAGAAAACTAAGAGAATGAAGTTAAAAAAAACAGTTACAAACTAACGAATGACTGGCTACCACGCTAAAGCCAAGGTTCAACCTACCTTTCCCCATGCTACCACCTTCTACAAACGTACTGTGTTAGACCAGTCATCCTGGCATTTAAGTCTTTTATTTATCCAAAATACAGATATTTTATTTCATGTAAACCTAATGCAATGAACACATAAAACTTCTACCAACTGCTTAACAGTCACGACAACATTGCACAAGATTTTAGAAGCATGTAAACCAGGGATCACAACCCAAATGACTCACACAGGAAAGCAGATAAACAGCAATGTAAGGAAATGGTGCAAGGTATGGTGGCATTGATTCACCTCTGGGACAGGCTTTCAGAGCATCATGCTCTTACAGAACTACTACTTCATGTTTCTCATGGGTATGATTCACTCTCCCCCCAGTAGATGAGGAGCCTTTGTGCTAAAAGTTTGCGGTTTTCTAAAGTCGGAGTCCATAAAAGACTCAGGAGCAAGCGGAACCTTTCAGTTCCCACAGAACTGGGAGATTTCCAGAGGCATTTGGCACCTGGCAGACTCAAGGTATTCAGGCAGCAGCGTACAAAAACAATTAGCTCTTGCACACCATCTTTCTCAGGGATATGTCACCTGCCTAATTGGCAACTGGAGCAGAAATTCTACTGCTCCTTCACCTCAGCAGCCAGCTCAGACAGCTTGGAAACAGGCTCAGTCTGTGCTTTAGCAGTACCTGCCAGTATGCAGAATACAAATGGCATTACTGTCCCCTCCCATGGAGAACAAGAACAAAAGGAAGAGGCAAACCCATTCCTTGACAACTCTGTCCTAACGGCAAGAGGCTGAGCTTGCTGGGGAGAATGTGACAAGGAGACTTGGCAGTATGGTCCCCCTGGCATTAACAGAACCTCCGTGGTGTGTTCCCTGTCCCGTCACTACAAAGAAACCCTTTGTACTGGTTTGCTCAGAAACTCAAGGTACAGCTTGATACTTGGTGCCATTCTCTAGTCACAGCCACAAAAATGTGCCCAGTAAACTTTAGATTAGTCGCTTTGTTGCAGGTGGCCTCTGCCTTGAGCCCCAGGCTTGCTCCAGCGCATGTGGAGAACAGCAAAGTGGTGCTCGCCTCACTCTAAATGAACAAATTGCAACCAAATGCATGCAACCAGCTGTCTAGGCCCAGGATGGCTCATTCAGCCCCTCCAATCAAGACAACAGTACGGAAAGATCATCTATGAAACTGTTATCATCCCAGGCCCTCTTGCTGGTCAGAAGCATGTTTGATTCTGACTCTGACAAAAAACAAGGCAAGTAACTGAGTTGGGAGGCTCACTCTTTTTTCTCAAAACTATAGAAACATGGAGCAGATTGGGGGAGGAGGGTCATATAGTAGCAGGATTTCTAACTATTTTCCAAATGCAGGCTTGACTAATAATTGTCGTAATCGCAAGTCAGAAAGTTCTGTGCAGCCTGAGGTAAAGTGCACACAGATGGTGGTTTTAAAGCACCTCCCAAGCCACAGGCTAAAAGCCTCACTGAAGAGGCTCCAATGAAGGCTAAGACAGAGCTTTTCCTGGCATAAATCTGAAGAAAGAGTTCCTGCTCCCTACAGGTACGGATGGGATCACAGAGACCTCAGTATGGAGCTCATCAAGATACCGCACCTGAGCTCAGTGATGCCATTTTGGTGTCACCAAGGCACTCCGAGGCTCCTGTCTCAGTGAAAAGGTTTCAGTCTGTCCACCTGCATATCACGCATGAGAAGTTTCTCAAAGAAAATCCTGCAGTATTCACACACACCTGTACAGAAATGCACTTTAAATGTAGTTTGGCATATCACAAGCAACCTTCCGAGAGCCCGAGGGAAATTCTTGCATCAGAGCTGTTGCAGCAGCCAGTGGACTTGTCTCCGAACTTCAGCCTTGTTGGTTCACAGCTGTTCCTCTTGGTTCCTGACCTGGCAGCATCTGAAAGCTGCTGGGGAGGGCTTAAGTCCAGCGATCTAAAAACCACTTCATTTTCCTTCAGTAACCTGATTTTTTTCTGATTTTGTTTCCTAAAATTAGATAAGAGTTTGTAAATAGGGGCACGTGGAACAAAGCAAACTTTTTATTTATTTTTGTTTAATGATTAGCTAATGATGGACACTGGAAGAGTATCGATATGTTTGAATGTTATTATTAGTTCTAAAAGGGTTGAGTTTATTTTTCTGACAGCAGTTAATATTTTTTTCTGTTTTTATTTTTTAGATTATACCTTCTTTGAGGTGGAGACTTTGTCAAACTTCTGTTTGCAAAGCACCCAGAATAGTTTAGTTCCCTGTTTAGCACGCATCCCACACCTCTCATCCTGGATCTTGGAGCACTTTCAAAGATGGACAAATGCCATATTTTACACATGTGGATCTGAGGTGCAAACTGGTGCTTAGGAATAAGGCAGGAATAAGGAACACGGCTTAGTTAGGATAGGCAGTCTGCCTATCTAGCAGACTACTGAGGGCACTGTGGTGAATACTGTGTTTAACTCTTTAAGGACTCAGAACCCGAACTGTCATCAGTTGTGGACCTATAACACTTATTAATCGGCAGGAATTATGCTAAAGAGAAAATAGGACCCTCAGGTATCCTCTCAGAAAATCTTCTCAACACCTTCTGGGGGTCAGAGAACTAAGAACTTGCACAGGAAAAGGCTCATCACTGAGTGAAGGGGGGTATCTGATACGACTCGAAGGACGAGAATTCGCACAGTTAATTTTATATCTGAGTTATCATCTCCAGTTGCACACTGGCCTGTCAACAACTCAACACAGTCTGAAAGTTTCTGTTCTCGCATTGACACATGTAGCACTGATTTCCAAAGGGACAGATGTGCTGCTTCCAGTGAAGGCAAAACACAGCCACATCTGGGCCATAGAGCTGGAGAAGAGGGTGCAGATTTCTGTCCCCAGCCATGCCAGCATTCATCTTCCATTTACAGTGGAGCTGAATTTACCCCTCAGCTAAAGTCCACACTGAGTTCAAGAGGGAATTATGCTGGCGTATAATTTCCCCTGATCGAAGTCTTAGTTATAGGATTTAAAAGATTTAGCGCTCAGCAGCAGCTTTTTTAAAGGGTCTTTGGGTAACGAGTTAGAGAGAAACCTCAGGAGCTCTTTTTCCCTCTGCCATCTCTCCCCTCTGAAGCATAAGGAAAAGGCTGAGCCACAACAGATTTTAAAAATCAGTAGGGGAATAGTCGGGATGAAAGACTGCAGGAGTATGGAATCTCCTCCTCCTTGGCCTGAAGTGACAATGAAATCGAATCCTTCCTAAAGTGTACGCAAAGCCCTTGATCTCTCTGACAGTACTTTACTACATGCATTTTATTGGTGGGTGGCTGCTTGTTGTTCTCGTCTCTCTGGCCTGCTCCAATTCCCTACAAAACAGCAGAAAGTTTCCCATTTCCTGCAGCGAGAGTTGAGCAAAAATATTAAGCTGGATTTGTTTTCCAGTTAATAGGCAGAGGGTTGGTTTTTTGTTTGTTTGTTTCAAAACACTATGTAAAAAAAATATGCTTGGTAAAATCTCTTTATCCTCTCCCAGAACCATCCAGCATTTCCCCACTCTCAGTTGCACCCCATAAGCAGGTAAGATTTTCTTTGCTCAAATAAGAATGACCTTTGCAACCCCTGAGAAAAATCAGCAGAGGGTGGAAGGTTATTTTTGATGATGGTGAAGACAGGGACTACATCAGAGCCCTGAATACAACATTGCATGATGATTTTTTGTGCTTTGGGGGGACGTTGTTCTGTGACCGGTGGGAACGGATAGTGACTGTCCTTCTCTAGCCTTCCAGCTCAGACATGGCAAGTCATCTGCACTGAGCAATAGTGTTCAGCACGTATATTTGGCGTAGCTCCCCGAGAACGTCTCCAGAGGAGCTGGAAGGAGAGAAGCATGTCCTGAGTAATAGCTTGCTCTGCCTTTCCCTCCCCACAGCCGATGAACCTCAAGCTGAAGGGGTGAGGTACCGTCAGGATGAGGCACAGGGAAACGCGGCTGCCCCTCTGGGTATTTAGCTCTCGTGCAGGTCCCTTTCTGTTTGCAACTGCATTCCTGAGGCGTGATATGAGCTGAGCAAACGTGTACGTCGGTAGATGAGACGTGTATGAAGTGTTTTGGTGGTATGATTTCTATTATTCCACATGAACGGCACTGGCTTTCGTTTTTGATCATACAGCTTGTTATTTGCTTTATGCAGTTAGTCATGGTTGGCTGTGCACTTTTGTGCTTGGTGTTTTAACTCTGTAGCACTTCAGTACAAAGGAAATTTAAAAACCAACAATGAAAATGTTTCTAATCTGTTCTTAATTAAATAGACCTCAATAATTGATTTATGAGAAGAGGGAAAGCAAAACAGAGTGGTTGCTAACCTGAAAATATAACTTATTCAAGGGCCAAACTTTCCTTTGTTTATGATAACCAGGATCTAGGGGAGCCTTGAATACCAATGAAGTTTTATCCGACAGCACACAATAAACGAGAGGAAAATTAACCTGGATAAAACAAGTTTATGCCCCTCACTACATATGTTAAAAATATCTTTGTGCATTAAAATAGATCACCTAAGCCTGCTTATTTACTTTTGTTTGTGATTATACGTGCAGCATAGATTTTCTTTGTTATAAGCCACTGGTACCTGTTAAAAATGTTCAAGGGCAATAACAATAAAGTCACTGTAGTCTAATCCCTGTTTTAAAATGGCCTGTTTCCACCCCCCATCCCTACCCCCAATTCACTGTAGTTGAACTGGGCTGGAGATAGATTTGGGGTTTTTAAAATTTATTTAGGTTTAAAGATAGGAGGTCTTCACATGTGGTTCAAAGCAAAGAAGACATACTTAAATATGGTAGGGAAAAAGATATCAAAACATGACATCCATCTGTGGTGCAAAAATTGAACTACCTA